TGTTTGTTGACATTTCAGCCTCATCCTGATCTTGGAAACTGCAGAGAAGAGACTTAATACTTGGAAAGACTTGAACCTGGAACTCTCACAAGCCCCTTAAACTAACAAGAATTCTGAAGGTAAGAGGTGCTGTATCACTCAGCACATCCAGGTCCTTCACTAGGGCATTTTATCAGCTTAATTTGAAATAATATGTAATACCATGTTATAATCTATCTTTCAGACTCGGGACCATTCATATTTTTTTTTACCTCTTTATGATATGAACTCCATTCATAACATAACAATTATCTTGATTTCTTTCCAGAATTGTCTTCCTATTTCAGAAATTGAACTCATTAGTTAAAATACTCCATTTCTCCTGCCAACCTTCTCAGAACTATTAATTTACTCTCTGTATCTATGAATTTTCCTATTCTAGATACTTTCCGTCCTTGTAATCATTACCAGATTTATATTTTATGTTTTGATTATTTCTTCCAACATAATATTTTCAACTTTTCTCTTCATGGCTGACTGATGTTCCATTGTGACTGACCAGTTTGTAAATACTGCTTCAGTGAACATTACACATGTATACACACTTGCTTGAGTTCCCATCTCTATCTCTTTGGAGTGGATACCCTAGAAGTAAACATGCTGGTCAGACCTCATTCTGTATTTCACTTTCTGAACTATTTTCCACAGCAGCTGCACCATTAAATTCCTAGTGATGCATAAGAATTCTTCATCCTTCAGTACCTGGTATTGTCAGTACCATTTTCATGTTTTTTCTCATAGGCATGAAGAAGTAGTTCATCATTGTAGGCTGTGTTGACATTTACTAATGATTACCTATGCCCAGTGTCTTTTGTTGGGTTGGGTTTTGTTTTCTTGTGTTTTGTTACCAAGTTACATAAAATGAATCACAAACATTCTTACAAGGTTTTAAGTTGCTCATGATTCTGTATTGGGCTATATTCATAGCTATTCCTGGTCCCATGCCTGGTCCCATGCAGCTTGTGGGCTGAAAGTTGGGTGTGTCTAGACCTTGAGGGTATCCAGCATTTTTAACTTCTCCCTGTGAGTTTTAGCATAAGATTTCCTAGTTTCACAAAAGACAAACAGTAAGCCCACATGGGTCACGAAGAGGACTGCACTGAGCTTAAGTCCTGTCCCCCACAGGTGGGTACTGCTCTCTTTAACATTCTTCCTGGCCCATGAGTTCGAGGTGTTCTGTTTATTTAATAGCTTTTAACATCGAAGTAGTCCTCCTCCATGGCTTGAATTTACTCCTAAGGATTTATTGCTGTTGGTGCAAGTGGGATAGCTTTCTTAATTTCTGTTTGATTTTTATTTATTCATTGCTGTGCTTGGAAGTGCGGGTGATTTTTTTTTTGTTTTGATTTTGTAACCTCCAACTTTGTTGAATCTGTTGCCTTTTTAAAGTTCTTTTTGTCCATTCTGTAGGATCTTCTACGTACAAAATTACATCATCTGCAGGAAGAAATAGTTTGGCTTTTTCATTTATAATTTGGATACCTTTTCTTTCTTCTCTTTCTCTGTCCTTGACTTTTTTTTTTCCTTTCATAATTGGTCTTTAGACCTCCAGTATTACTGAGTAGTGAATGAAGACCAGTAACTTGTGTTGCTGGTCTTGGGGGGGGGGAAGCTTTCAGCCGTTCACACACACCCTACTCCACCCTGTGTAACTAGCAGTGGGCGTGTGTACAACCCTTACGTTTAAGGAGCTAGCTTGCTCCATTCATAGTTTAGTGTGTGTTTTTGGGGGGGTGGGGTGTTACTGGTTTGTTGGCTTTATTTTCTAAAACTTTTTTGCTGTCATTTGTGATGATCATGCTGTTTTCTTTGTTCATTACCTTGATTGTTTTTTGTATGTTACATCAGCGCTGCGTTTCTGGAAAGATGAATTAAAATTTAAGCATCTTTTTTTATGCATGTTTTCCTTCTGGAATGTTTTCTAAAGCTAAGTTCAGGCCCTGGACTTGCATCTCAGGAAGTTTGTTACCATCATTCCTCATCAAGAATTTCCACTTCTAACCTAAGGAAACAACTGGCTGGGCAGTGGTGGCGCACGCCTTTAATCCCAGCACTTGGGAGGCAGAGGCAGGCGGATTTCTGAGTTCGAGGCCAGCCTGGTCTACAGAGTGAGTTCCAGGACAGCCAGGGCTACACAGAGAAACCCTGTCTCGAAAAACCAAAAAAAAAAAAAAAAAAAGGAAACAACTGATGACATCTGTCCATCCAAAACGGGAAGAGTAAATTACCGATTATAATAACTTGGATGTGAATAGAATGTAAGATCTTGACCTGTGATGATTGGAAGGTCTTTTTCATTCCTGGCTCCTCCCTAAGAGAAATTTATTGGTAAACTAACATTCTTTCAAAGCTACCACTTGACAGACTAAAATGTATGTACATTTGTGACAAAGACAGACAGACAAGTCTTTCTTAGCAACTGTGGTGCTGTCCCTAACACGGTGTAGATCCAGGGTTGCCTGGGATACGTGGGAGCCTGTGGGAAGACAGAGCTGCTGAGCGCCTGCTCCTCGTACCTCTGAAGAAAGCTCAGCAGCTGAAAGACGCTCTGCTGGGCTGTGAGAGGGACATGGAATCTTAGCACAGACTTGACTCCCGCAAGACTGAATCCCTAGAACAGTGCTCGTGATGAGTTAGAAATTCTCCAGCCCCTTCCACAGCTGTAGTGACAGGTCTTACTTACTGCAGTATCTTTCAGTTTCCCCTGGGCTATTACGTAATGACTCAGTGAAATGGTGCCGGTGTCGGCTACAGGAGACATTGTACAGACAGACAAGTCTTTCTTAGCAACTGTGGTGCTGTCCCTAGCGCGGTGTAGATGCAGGGTTGCCTGGGATACGTGGGACATTGTCTGTCATTGTGGAGTGCTGTTCATGTGTCTTTTGTTTTTGTTTTGTTTTTTTTCTGGAAACACTGGAACTCATTAGAAAGATTGCCTTGGGAGCATTCCAGCCATTTGGCTCATCCAGACCCCGCCAGCCATTCTTTCCCGACTTCTTAGCTACCTGGAACCGCACCCCCCCCACACACACACTTCTTTTTAAACTTATGCTTTATTGCTACTAATTATTCCACATTGCTGTCTTATACCACGATTTAGTCTTTGATCCCGAGTTACCGAAATGTTTTCTTTTCTCTTGCCTACGTTTGAGTCTCAGCGCTTTCTTCTAGAAGTCCTTCTCTGTACCCCACCCCACTACAGACTGGCTTTTGAGTCCTCTGGTTTTACTGCCCTCCTAGCTATTGTCTCTGTACTTCAGAATATAATAATACTTAATCATTTTTTAACCGTCACTCAATAAGCCCTGTGAAGGAAAGGATTACTATGTCTTGGACTAGATAAAGAAATAGTAGTATTTGTTGATTAAGACACAGAGTGAGGAAATCCTTGTTTGTAAGGAAAACTCACCACTTAATTAACCTGGCCTTGTCTCTTCTCTTTGAACTGAAGCTAAGCGCAGCAGTGAATTATGTTAGAAACCTAAGAACTAACTCATAATCAAGTTGTTCTACCTCTACCCCACCCCCCACCCCACACACAGGAGGAGACATCGAGAGATCTTATACAGGACTAGGAATAACGTCAGTATGGGAGAAGCCCAGGCAGGACACACTCTAATTACTGGGACTCGCCTGGACAACAATGATGTGTGCCCGGTACAGTGTAAGGACATAGATTACTAGTTCTTAGACTTAAAAGACTTATATTTTAAGCATATTGATCAGCATCATGGCCTCTGAAATCAAAGTATAATTTTGAAAGCTGATTAGCGGTTTCTTGGAGTCAGTTATTTAACTAGAGTTGGTCTCAGTTCCCTTGTAAAATTATATATAATAGTACTTCCCTCAGAGGGCTGTGTGCTTGGACTTGGAGCTCTGGACTCCAGCTGTTTCTTTGAGTCAGTTATTTAACTACAGTAGGTCTCAGTTTCCTTACTTGTAAAATTATGAAGAGTGCTTCCCTCGTAGGGCGGTGTGAGTGCTCTGGACTTGGAACTTTGAGCGGTGCTGAGCATATGTGACGTGGTTTAGAAATGCTTCCCATCAGTAACTAAACCTGTCATGTGACACAATGAAATGAAAATGGAGCTAGGTTTCAGAGTCATCTGGGAGAGGGTACCAGAACTAAGTGTCAGCCCTATATTGCAATGGGGCCAAACAAAGGAGTCTGGATGCAGAGATGCCATGCCTGAATATTAAAACAAAGGGCACGGCCATCACATCTTCTTGGGTAGAAACAGTGTTTCTGCAGTGCTTCCTGGAGCACAGTTGGCTTTCAGATGTTTCTTTACTAAGTGAATAATATCACACCATACCTACAAATATTTTATATCCTATATAGCTGTCAATTTGTGTCTCTTTTGAAACTGTAGTGACACTGAACATCAGTCTGGGTCTCTGCTTATCTCCTATCTCTTCCTTCACACACACACGCACACGCATGCACACACACGCATGCACACACACGCATGCACACACACGCATGCACACACGCACACACGCACCCCAATCTTGTGAACCAACCCACCTGGTGACTGCACTGAGCTCATTGGAAGTAAAACAAAGAAGAATAACCTTTGCCAACAAGTCTTTAGTTCATATGTCCCTGTGAACTAAATAAAGAAATAGTAATATTTGTTGATGTAAGACAAATATTACAGCAAAATGATTAAAAGGAAAATTAGTTTCCTTCTCCTCATGTTCCCACCTCTGTACAAAGCAACTGACAGAACTTGTGTGGCAGTGTGTGTGTGTGCATGTGCTTCCGCTGTACTGGGCTTTCGAGTTTCACATATGCTAGGCAAGTACACTTCTGCACTGTAATCCTTATGTATATGTAAAGCATTCGATGTGCCATATATAGAGATAGGAAACTGTATTTATCCAACGTGTTGACACAGAAAAAGCGATATTTGAGTCCTTGTAAGTAAATGGAAGTGAACAAACCCACTTGCCTCTTAAACACTTTTTTATTACAAAGTATTTATTCAGCGAAACAATATTACAGTAAAAATGACTTTCGTGTGGCAGGGAAGGAGGCTCTGCAGCCGAAGGAAAGCTATGCAGAGACGGAGTTCAGCTCTCACAGCGAGGTTCTAGAGCTCCAGCCTCAGCCACAGGGGTTAGGCACTGATGAAACAAGCATAGGAAAGAGCCGGCATGCTCTTTGGTGCCCATTTTCTGGATGAATTAATCCTGTTAACACAGAAGACGGTGAAGCTGTCGTTCTCCATTCTTCAGTTCTCACTTCAGCATTTGGACACACCAAGAATGACATACAGTGTTTTTCCATTTCTAACCTAGAATACAGGATAATTCACAGTAGCTGGAAGAAAAGGAACCAACAGGCAGACTTACAGTCATGTGAACATTTCCAACCAGCGTTTATAGTTTAAAAGTCTGCAGGAGGTCATTTTGTTGAAATCCCTGCACATTAATTGCTTGTTTCTTTGTAAGAATCTTGCATATCAAAAGCATCCTCATCCAGCAGTTTTAAACACTCAGCCTTGTGTTTCCTTAAATTCTGAAACACTCCTGCTCTACCCTCAGTGAAGGCTGTGGCCCCAGGCAGCTCCCAGCTTCTCCCACCTGGTCCTGGGTGCCCATCTTGACCAGAGAACAGCTGGAAGCCAGCACTCTCAAAGCCCCTCCCTCCTGGCTCTGACACTGTGTTCAGTAATTACAGTCCCCTGAACCAGCTCCTTTTTTATTTTAGCACATATTTATTCTTTGCCGTGAGGGAGTGGCAGGGTGTTTATTTATGGGCTTGGAACTATCTTCATGGCTTTACAGTCAAAGGCTGTATCTCCCCTTAGTAAAGACACACGCCTCTTAGAAAGACAGCCAATTTCGGTAGTAAGTATCTAAACATAATTTTAGATTGTGTAAAATTCAAAATTTTTTGCACAAGCTTTATTTTTTTTGACCCCCTTATAATCCTTTATTTAGTATCTAGTCTGTTGAGGCACAGTTGTTTTTTTAATACTTGTAGATGAGTAGTGTTTCAGCTCCCCCATCTTGAGTTGAAAGTACTTTGACCCCATAGTCTTAGGACTTGCCCTTTATCACAGACATGCTGCCTTCACAGCCCTAACCCACATCACTTGAAGCCTTTCCTGCAGAGCATCCGAGGAGCTGCTGCATCCGTTTCAGAGTGAGATTCCTGAAGAGTTCTCCTTTATCAGATTCCCTTTATTCTTTATTTAATACAGAAAGCAGTGTCTCTTGGGTGCTCATCTTTAGAAGCGAGGCCTTCAGTTCCTCCAGTTCTCAGTAATGCATTTGGTTTAATCCATCAAAAATTGTATCTATACACAGGAAGTATATCTATACATAGCTGTATTATATAAACATTTCTCTGTTCGAATTCACCATCTGCAAGTATCTTCCAAAACATTCTTCGTTTGTTTCCCAACCACCCCTTTTGGGAGAGACAGGGAGACAGATTACTGGGGAGTGAATCCACAGCCTTAACCCATGTAGGGCACACATTCTACTGAGCTATGTCCTCAGCCCTAAAAACATTAGGTTTTAAATGTTAATTGTCAGAAATCTAAAGAAACCTTAACTCCCAGTAGTGATGAAGATATTAGATGGTTGTGGTTGTGGGGAATGAGGAGAGCAGGGCTAGTCTCTTAAAATTAAACACAAACCTGGGAAGTCCCCTTGAGAGTTTGGCTGGTGTGAACTGAACACAGTCTTAGCATCCCAGACTTCTGCCGGGATTAGAAAGGCTTCTGTAAATGGCTAAGCAGCTGGCTTCTCAAAGTTCTTTTTAAAAAAATGCACTTTGGAACATGTTCTTTAAAGAATGTTTATTGTCTAAATATGGCTTCGTTCATTCTTATAAAAAAAAAAAAACATTACTTGGACATTACATTTACCGGATTTCAGTTCAAAGGAGGTCCTAAGGCAGTTCTTCCTGTGATGGAAGCACACTTTGATGGTGTCTACATGAGAAAATAACACTCTACAGAGAGCTGTTCAATGCTAATGTGTCCTTCAAACATTTCCTCTCAATAATAGAAATACATAAATTCATGTACATAAACCTAAATGCAAAGGAAGGCACAGCTGGTTACATCATGTATACAAGCAGGGTTCAGCATGTGTAGAATTAAAGCGATAAAAAGCTTCACATCCTTATTAGTTACATTGAAAACATTAAGAAAGGCTCTTCACTGTCAGTGTTCAACACTCCAGAGCTAACAGGATAAAACACAAACATTAAAATCCACTTAATGCAAAACAGACTTTCATAGAGAGCTGAATATATATATATAAAAAAACCAAAACTTTTTTTTAAATGCTAAAATACATCTAGATTATCCGTGTTACGAAAAGTGCAAACCACATTAACCCGGTTTCACAATGTCCTTCTCATGACACAGGTAAACTAGTCCATGGGGACAAACTGGCGTCAATCAGTTCTGAGTCCTTAGTGGCTGACAGTGGTGGCGGCCGTCATCATGATTTCTGGGAGCCGGAGGACAACAGTACTGGGGATGGAGCTCTGTCCAGACTGGGGAGCGGCACGGGCATGTGACCGTTGAGCAGTGTGGGGAACTGGAAGGAACAAGAAGCATTTAGTAACTGTGACAAAGCCATTGAGGAGAATGCATCCCTCTAATGTATACACAGACCAATACAAGTTGTTCTCTGAGCCCAGTGATGGGAGTTGGCTGCTGAGCTGCTTTACAAAGGTTACCTAGAGCAACAGAGAGAAGCCCAGAAAATGCCGCTGTCCTGTGTGCCTAAGACTCTAACCTGTCCTTCACATGGGGTGGTAAAGTTTATTCTACTGCTATTTTTTTTTTTAAAGGTTCTAAGCTAGTTTGCTGATTTGCTTTAACTATCGAGGGGTGAAACTGGAAACCAAGATTCTTTACATATGGGTCAGTAGTCTCAAATTTTGAAATTTGCTGCCAGGTTCCTATAGCACAACAGAGATGTCTGTCAGTTCCCGTTCAAAACGAGGACCAGGGAGCCAGACACACCGCTCAGCAGTTCGCAGTGCTGACTGCTCTGTTGACAGAGGACCTGAGCCCAATTCCAGCACCCATGTCGCATGGCTCAAAACTATCCCAGCTCCTGGAAATCTGTTGTCCTGGCCTCTGTGCGTTTTTCTAAAAGAAAGATGATCTTAACCTTTCCTGGAGGTGAGAAAAGTACTTTCCTCTGATCTCATATCAATGCATTAGGTCACCCTTGTACAAACAGTGAGATTTCTGTGTTGGTAATAAGATGGTAGCTAGCAGAACGAAAGCCCTGGACTTCATAACTGGAACAAATACTTCAGCTGTGATCCCCTACGAAGAACGGCGAGCAAAAGCATCCTTGTAATATGTGACTGCCCACTCAGAGCTCCTGTTCTGCACTGCCAAAGACACAACGTGGCCAGTTGATCCCCCAGGTACTCTTGTAGCTTAATCCCTGTTTAGTCCAGGAAAGTTAAATATTAAACCTGAGCACTAAATATCAAACTGCGGACAGAGCCTGGCACATGCTAGAAGTACAATAAATATTTGTAGAATGAGCAAATACTTTTTCCCCCTAAAACTATTTCGGTAACACACTCAACGCCTTGGCTTCTCAGGGGCCGCTGTTTGGTTGAGTCACTAGGAGTATAAAGTCGGCTTTGTTATCACCATTTTGTAAGTGAGAAAAGCAACTCAGGAGAGGTTCTGATGAGCTCAAGGTCATAGCTCCTAAGCAAAAGCACGTTTTAGCTCCAGCTGTACTAAACTGCCCAGCTCCTATTTTAATGTGTTTAGTGGTAACTGGTGTATGTAAGGGTTTCTTGTCTTTCCTGGTTCTTTGGAATCTTCACATTTTGTGGGACTTTGTTTCTGTTGAGTTCCCAGATCTATCTGCATGCACTGAAACCTTTCTAAGCCAAGGCCCTTGTCCTTGTCCCCACTCTTAAGGTGACTTCAGGTGAACTGCAGAAAAACCGGGCTTGAGCTTTCGTTTGAGAATGGTTGTGCATTCATTCATTCTCATTCATTCATTCTCTCTCTCTCTCTCTCCCCCCCCCTCCATTTTATTGGTGCCTATGATATGAAAGACTCTTCTTTAGTATCAGCTTTTTCCACGTGTTAAGATGGCTGCCCAGTCCGAGTGCACTTATTTGCCATACTTGATTAGCTTGGGTCCCCCCCCATACACGGAATGTTTATTGGCTTTTCTCTCAGCACAGCTATAAAAGTGTGCCAAGCTAAAAAGTTCTGTAGAGCACATTCTCAGTTGGAAGCTGAGTCTCCTCGACCCTGTTTGCACACGTACCTGCCTGTGAGGTACATCCCAGTGTATCTGTAGATAAGGCTCTAGGCTCACGCTCGGCCAGTATCTTTGGCACCTCTCTCTCTTTACTGAAACATTTTGCAAATAGAAAGCATACCTCTTCCAGAAGGGTTAGTGCCTTGTCTTCTTTCTCCTTTGCTGAAATTCTGCCATATCTGTTCTAATCTGCTATAAACATGGTCTTAAGTAGGCTGGTACACACCCGTCAGTCATCCCAATATTCAGGAGGCTGAGGCAGGAGGACTACTGTGAGTTCAAGGTCAGCCAGGGCTACAAAGTGAGTTCCAAGCTAGCCAGATCTACAGTGTATGACTCTGTGGCAATCACTCTCCCTCTAAGACAGACAGACAGACGTCTCAGGAAATCTGTGCAGCAACACCTTAGCTCCACCAATTCTCTCCCTAAGGATTTCAGTTTGTGCCAGGAGCCAAAACTCACACAGGAAATGTGCCCATACTGCTCAAAATTCTATGTAGGTCATGTGTTCTCTTTCATTCACCAACACCCAGTGTATGTGAACGCGGCTTATTGTTTCTATTCATTGTGAAAGGGCTCGATGGTAATCTGCATTCTGAGAAATCCATTTCGATGTCTTAATATTTTTCATCATTAGCCTCGTTCCTCTTAGGATGTTTGTTGATTTCCATTTTTAAAACTGCCCCCTCCCACTTTTACATGCCCCATTGTTCTTTTTTATGAAAAGAGTTTTCATATTTCAAAAGGTGCGGAGTTGTTTCCCTTTGCACATGGATCCAGCCATAACTTGAGAACTCTAGGCCATGCAACCTGTCAGCCATCCAGGCTAAGTTGTAGCCCCCTTCTAATCTCCCCGGCTGCTTTTTAAATGGCTCTTGGATTGAAAACAGATATTTTATTGAAATTAAAATAGAATCTCTTTGCAGATGGCCTTTGTATGTAGTAATCTGCAGAATTCTAAATGTATTAGGAACCCCTTGTCTGCAGCCCTTCTCAGAATGTAGTTCCTACACCAGAAATTATAAGAAATGTGAACGTTTTATCAGACCATGCTCAAGACCCGATGAATGAGAAGCCCTGGGGTGGGCCTAGCATCTTTACTTGACACACTATCCATGTGACTCTGATGCACGCTGACTTTGCAGAACCACTGGCTATGTGGTAAAGACATCTCCCAGCTCCCAGAGATCCTGGCAGTCAACTCACTCTGGAATGAACTATCTTTACTGTTGGGAATACTGGAATAGAAACAAACTTCCATTGGTTCCTTATGGCTTTCCTAGAAGATCTTGTACCAATCAGATAGCAGAACTCTCCCAAAAACCATAGAAACAAGAAGCTGATATTCACTGAGCTCTGCAGAAGTTCCACGTTAGACTCTATAGTAGTGTGGTCCTACCCTCAAGGGGCTGATACATTCATACAACCAACCCCCTCCTGATGTGCTTCTATTAGACAGTGCCACTTCAGGTTAAAATGGTAACAACCAACATGTCCGCTGTGCCTGACCAGAACTGAGCTGAGATGGGACTTAGGGCCAGGGAGAAAAGGAAACTTGATTACTCCAGGGAGTAGTCACAGCATGACACCCTACTCCAAGCCTGCCCAGGAAACCAGAAGCACATGATAGCAATCTAAACCTCTGAAGCTCCTCCATCCTTCCAATGAGACCCTAAATCCTATTGTGTATACATTGTGTTCCTGCAGAGAGGTGCTCAGCCAATAACTAACCTTGCTAAGCAGAGTGACCACCTTAGAGGACAGACTGAAGCTCACAACATCTTTTATTGACACGTGTGCTTTGGCGTCTTGTCACTAAGCCATCAGTAACGACTGACATTTGTGCGACCATCGATGTGTTAGAAGGTGGGAGATAGCACAGTGAACAGGATATGATTCTTGTCTTTTGGGGTTCTACTCTCTAGTGGAGTTGGCCAGATCAATGGGCAGTTGTAATATAAAATGTTAAGGGAATAAGGAGCGACAGCCAGTTTGGGGTGAGCTATCCTAGGTCAGAGGAAGCAGGCTGGGTAAGACCAAGCTAGACAGAGAGGAGCATGGAGCTGGCAAGGTATCCACCTTTGCTTCATTCCTGCCCTCCCTGTGTTCACATCCTCAAGACAGTAACACCTTGAGTTGGTGAGTACCATTGAGACTCAGGAAATACTGATCTCCATGGGATAGTGAGTAAGGCTCCTGGAAGACTCCAGAAGGATACATAATGAGTGTGCTCACCCAACTCGGAGTTCTTCATTATTCTTTAACTGTATGCTGCACAGTATTTTGTCACAGAATTCGAGCTTGATTATAACCTATAGATTGAGGCAGGTAACATTTCTACTCCAGATTGGAAAAACTGTCCACTGTTTTTATTTCTCAGTGTTTTTCATGTGAATATATTGACTAGTTGGGTTCCTATTTTAAAGTCTTGGGTTTTTATAAAAAAAAATCATATTTTAATTTTAAATCATCTCTGCAGTCAATTTCCAGTTTTCCTAGTCACGTGGAAGTCTCCGGAACACTTAAAAGAATTCATGTTTGGATTCCTAATATAAGTACTCTCTTTTCTGCCTCAGTGAAAATGTCTGCCTCTAAAAGGCGGTGCAAACCCAATTCCCCTTCGAAACTTTAACTTAGTAGCTCAGGGGCAGAAGGTACCGTCAGAGCCGTTGTGGAATTTTAGAGAAAAGACATCCTTTGGCTGACTCTTGTTTAAAAGCCCATCTGCAAACACTTACCTGGAAAAGTGTGTTTGGCCCTTGCAGCCTGGCAGGACTCAGAGGGGCGACCGGACTAAGGCTGCTCCAGAAATGTATGCTGGGGAGCAGGGGACTCGGGGTCAGAAGCAGTCCACTTGGTGTCTAGAAGACAAGGCAACAGGCAGGTCTTGATAGGGGTTCACCTAACACCAGCCGTGACCAAAAGCAGCAGAGTGGTTAGGTGTGTGGGCCACAGACAGTGACCCTAGCCTTGTCTTCTCCGGAAAACTGGGCAGCCTCAGGTCTGTGTACATGAGTAGGAATCATTCAGTTCTCCTCAGTACTAATTTAATGTGCAATTCTTAGGCAAACTACCCTGCCTAAACATTCTGGTTGGAGAAGTCAGGTCTGCAGCAACTTGTCAAACAGTTCCTTCCCCTTGCTCCCAGTAGACAAATGTGCAGACTGAACAGGACCCCTGGAAGGGGCTTCATTTCTTATCAAACTGTTTGGCCACGGTGGACACCGATCACACCCAAATTGGACAGCCCCCCACGGGCACACACTGGTAAAAAGATCATCTCTCTATATTACCAACAGCCCGGTAATAACTGAAATTCTATTTTAGCATGGATTATAGCCGCTTGTTCAGGAGCCCTGAGCTGATTTTGCGGACTCCACTCTGGACATGGGGCTGGGAAGAACTCATCACCCTGGCAGTGGAAAGCAGGGTTGTAGAGCCAGAACTCAGTGTTTCTTAGAAGTGACGAGACTGGCATTTGCTTGCCCACACTCGGCAGGAGGCCTGGCCCACAAGCCAGCTAAAGGGCAGGAGAAACAACCCACCCAAGTCAGTAAATCTGCACAGCTTTTATGCTCAGCAGAGGCAAGCTCCCTGGCCCAGGGTGTCTGCACCTCTGGTGACCAGAAGGAGCCCCTCAATAAGACTCTTTGTGTAAGAACACAGCAAAGGCGCCAGCATTAAAGATTGCATCATGCTGGATGCTGCCGTGTTATTCTTTCCTAGAACTGGCCCCGGCAGCCTCCGTAATTATCAAGAGCATTTGAGCTTAAACCTAAATTAAAAGGTTTGCTCTGTTCAGCGGGAGAGAGACAAACATCCAGTGGTCTTCCAACCTAAGTGCTGAATGGTAAACAAATTTAAACCCAGTTCTTTGAGTCTTTGGTTCCCCGGCATTTCCTTCTACATATTAAAATGGTCTACAAGGTTACTAGGATAAATACGTGTTTTGAGTCAGTGCTCCATTTTTTTTTGTTGTTGTTGTTGTTAAAGTTGGAGGCAATTTCACAAGTGTGGTAGGCCAGCTGGCCTCACTGTTAAAAATGAATGGCTAAGCTTGCGTTCTGCCAGGGTTCCCATGTTCAGAACCTCTACTCACTAGCTAAGACAACCTCGGATGAGCAAACTTTTCGGGCCTCAATCTTAATCTGTTAAATGGGGGGAATGAAAATGCATGCTATTATTGCAGGGTTGCTGGGAAGACAGCTAATTCACGTGACATTCTTAATATATTACTATATATTAATTACAGTAATATAATAATACACATTATTTTATATATTTTTATCTTTTATATATTATAACATACTATATGTAGTATATAAATACTAATATATGTTATATATTTTATAATATATATGTATATTTTATAATATATATGTATTTTTATATATGTATTTTTTATAATATATATGTATATACACACATATATATACACATACACACATACACATATATGACCAATACATAGAAACGTCAAGTCTAAGCGACTCTGGTCATTTGTAAATCAGTAGTAAATATAAAATGTACCTGACATACTCATTAAATGGACTTTATCCATTCAGGGGAGAATTCTCAACTAGGTACTAAAAAGGTCTGGTGGGTTGGGCCCCAGTCCACAGACTCGGGTGATTTGAGATACGGCAGAGCCAGGTTCAAACCACAGTGTTATTAATATTTAATAACCAGTGTCAGGGCTTTCAGGTTCTTCTCAAAGTCTGCACGGTCTTCTAAACCATAAAGGACAGCTACCTTTTTCTCATCCAAGGCCACAAACTCACATGTCTGGCAATACGTAAAGCATAGGATTTCAGTTTCCATACTCTACAATTTGCATCCCCTCTGGATTTGAGGTGCACGCGCATTTGTTTCTGAGGAATACCGGATGTACATAGAATGCAGTGGCCTTCTGTTTCTCATGGTTAATGCATTTGACATGTCTTTTAGAATATATGCAAATAAACATTGTGAAATGACTTCATTAACTCTTCCTCCAATTGCTGTGCTCCTCGGAGATCCTGAGGCCTTAAAGGAAGGACTGTTGGGGAACTTCGAATGGAACTTCCTAAAGAGCCTTGCCTGGGTTATCTCAGGACACTGCAGAGCCTCCGAGGTGCCTCTGCCTGACCTCCTGGAGGGAGGACCACCTGCAAAGGGCAGACTTTGTGGGGCTGTTGGGGAGCCTGGGAATTAACAAATGGCCATAGTTGTTCCTGATGTCAGTGAAAGACATGCCCCCGTTTGCAAGGAGAAGGGTTTTCCCACTAGGACTTCCTTTATCTTCCTCCCCATTCAACTCCACTTAATTCTGGGTCTCCTAGAGAGCCTATACACGGGACCTTTAACAAGAACAGCTGACCTCATCCAGATGTGTGGCAGCTGTGTGTTGTGGCCCATGGCCCTTTGTCTGCAGCAACCTTTTCTACTCCTGTCTCTCTCTGCCCATCAGAAATGCCACCTCCTGGAAGCAGACGCCTGGCCTCCCATCACGCTGATGAGATTTCTTTTATTTTGCTGAATCTTTAAAATACTATGGAACTCCTTTCTCCCCTTAACATTAAACATGCTCTGCCTCATACTGTGCACATCCTTCTGATTCCTCTTTCATGGCCATTGGAGAATTTGTTCGTCGTTCTCGGCCCCCCAGTACTTGATGAGCTGAAGAATGTTTCAGCCCTATGATCTCCCCTCTCAGGGGTCTGACTTCTGTTAGGACTCAAACCCAGGACAAGTCTCACTCAGTACCTGTGGCTCCTCCCAGCACTTCTCGCTCCGCCCCCTACCCTAAGCCCCTCCCTCCCAGGGGCTGGGCTTCACTCCCCTTCTTCCCTCCCCTTTACCCCCTGCCCCTGATTCTTAGTCTAACTCAGTCGTTTGGCTACACTGGTTTCTTGATCCTGCTTGTTGCTCCCCCTCCCCGTCTCTCCTCTCATGGTCCTGTCTGCCGCCGGTTCAGCCTAGACTCTTCCTTCTGCCTGCTTTCTCTACCGCTACAATAAAAATCTTCTCCATCCATCAGGAGTAACCATGTCCTCCTCCTCTTATTTTATTTTTTCATTCATCTTCTCCTGAAAATGTCTCCATGTCCAAAACTGAACTCGTTTTTCATATCCACCTCTTCCAACGACTTCCCAATTTTGTCGGCAAGTACCGTCAGCTGTGTATCTCAACATATGTACTGATGGAGACCGAAAATATTTGCAGAAACAAGAACAAAATAAGACACGATTTCTGCACACATGGCCCTACCTACACAGTATCCCAGGCACCAAGACAGAAATAGTACCTTCCTTGGACTCATTTTCAATGTATCTCTCCACTTCCTTCTGGGCTGCATTTAGATCCAATCAGCTTGGCACTAGTGACATTCTACAAGTCACTGGACAAATCCACCTGCCTCACATCCCCTATCCAGTATATAGTCACTCTAAAACACTCCATTCAAAAATCCGTTCATTTTCAGGGGGTTGGGGGAGAGGTCTCCTCAGCCACAATGCTAAATCCCCTATAACTTGTTACACATCTTGTCACTTCCTTGTCAACCCTCCTGCTTGGCGTTATGTGACCTGAGCTAATCACATAGAGATTCATAGATTTACAACTCCTCAATCTTTCCACACTCAGCCTCCCTCATGCCCCATGTTGGTGGCTGAGTGTATCATGGCTTCCCTGATCTACCACTCTCCAAGCATATACCTTTTTCTCCTGCACCTTCCCATCATCCTCGTGTTCATCTCCTGGTTCTCACTCAACCCTCAAGTTAGTCACCATGCCCTATGGCTGATGGTCTCTAAATTTCTCTCAGATCTAGCTCCTCTGGCTGTGTCTGTTACAGCCCGGCATCTTCCCTGTCGGATTAGCTGAAGTGTTACAAGGTATCCTAACTGGATAGTGGTCCCTTCTATATCCATCCTATCAGGGTGACTTTCTACCACACAGTTCATACTGTCCCACATGCCCTTCCACTGTTTCCTCCTGCCTTGATCCCCTCCCATCTGACTAAACTCCATCTCTTCCTCTAGAGCTGTTTCTCATCCTTGCCATGGTACTACAATCCTGTCTGCCAGAAAGATCTCTGCTGCTCCTCAGCTCCTCACTCAACTGTGATTGCCCCTTCCATAGCTACCCTCAACATTTCACTCCTCTGGACAAGTTCATCCCTTCTTCTTAACATCCCATCTGTGCCTCCTAGCTCCCAGGGACTCTACCACCCAGGCTTGGACCCCTAGCGCCAACCACAACAGCTTACACAGGGGAGGGGGGAGGGGTGCTCCTGTCAAGTTTCAGGAACTGAGCCAACTGTACTTGCTTGTGCTGCTCCGGTCTCCTCTACAGGACATAACTGTCTTGTGTGCATGCATGTGTGCACTTCATCGGGGACAGGTCCTAAGGTTATAAAACAGGTCACTTCTCATGTCCTTTTTTATGTCTTATAAAAATCTGTGTACAGTGGTCATTTATTAACTCTTACGAGGAGTCCGTGTTCCACTTGGCTTATGCCTCTAGAAGTTGTTAATTTCCTATCAAACCATGTCTCAACTTCTCGGGCAGTTTTCATGACCAGAAATTATAGTTGGCTCCTATTCTTTACCTTCTGGGCAGCAGCTGTAAGCTCATGAGAACAAGAAACATGTCTATATACTAATCTTGGTATCCCTGGGGCAGCAAGGAAGTGCCTGGGTGTTCAGTGACTAGCTCCAAGCGAACTGGATTAGAAAGGAGGCAGAGAAGACAATGGGGGTGGCCTGCTCACCGGCAAAGAGTAAATGTCTTTGCTGATGTCTTGAGTGGGTGCTGGAGACACTAGGAAATCATTCAGACTTAGGAAAAGTAAAAGAGAAACCCTAACACATACACCTTAAAAGTGGCATAGAGGCCAACAGACTCCATAATAGTGGCACCCCAGAGTTAAACATTATTTTCAACAGCGGGCCAGGGGTAAAGGCATTTGCCACCAAGTCAGAGTTTGATCTCTGGGACTCTCATGGCAGAAGGAGAGAACCAGCTCCTATAAGTTGTCCTCTAACCTCCACAGATGTGCCATGGCCCACATGTGCCACCATCATGCACAAAATTATTGAGTGTAATATATATGTGTGTATATATACTATGAGATATATACATATCTCAGAAATGACAGAATCTCTAGAAAGCCACAGAGTTGTCTTAATTCGATACAAACACAATTTCAAAGACTTCACTAAAGGAAGAGTTTAGTGAATCCTCCAAGAGTTTTGTCTAGCTCCAGTCTGAAAGACTGAGGTAAGGAGAATCTCATGCATCTGAAGAACTACTGAGAGTGATGGATGCAGACCAGAAGAGATGGACGAACCATGGGCAGTCAGATGAAGTTAAATGAAGCTAGGAGAGGGGCAGCAGGGGACCCCAGGGCACAAAGAGAGAAGGCACTCCCTAAATTGTTTATCTGGGGCAACCCACAACTTGGGAGCCAAGAACCATCATATCATCTACTGCAAAGACCTACAAGGAAGTTGTCTGCCTACAGGAAAGGTCATTATGAACAGAGCAGGAGGCTTGGCTGGGGAAATGTCAACAGAATAAGAAGGAAGTTGAACAACCCTGGAGGGAAGGGAGAAGGGGGAAAAATGTTTTTCTTCTGATGATAATGGCAAGAGACAGATGGAAACCACCCCAGAAGTGGGGTGTGCGGAACAAGGTACCCACACTCTGGTTCTCCTACACTGCTCCAGACTCCCACTTTTCTGCCTTGGCCTCAAAGCTGTCTCACCACTCCATAATAAAGGAAGTAGGCTTCAGCATTTCAGCCTTTCAAACTGAGCAGGCTGTCTCCACTCAGCCACTAATCCCAGGCTGCTGCTGAGCAAACACCCTGAGGCATGCATACTCAGACTCTGATGGTGCCCGGTGCTAAAACATCTCAGATTTCAGCATCTTGCACAGCACAGGTGAGACGAACACGAGTCTTGGCAGAAATGAGAAACACAATGCCTTGGATTCTGAATTAACTTCACCTTGGGGGGACAGGAGCGACAGAACACAGATGGAACGTGGCAGGAAGAGGGACAGATGAAACCAGCATGCAGAGGAGTCAGAAGTTTCAGCGAGCACCTCGGCTGCCAAGGTGCCTGGCTCGAGGCCAGGAGGGCTTCACACCCCAGCTCCTTCCCCCTCTGCCTTACATCGGTAGCTTGTGCCAACGGGGACAGCAAGCGCCTTGCTTTTCAGCAACATTCAGATGGGACCTCTGTGGCTAAGCTCTGACATCATTTCTCTGTATACACCTAGTTGACTTTTGTTCGAGTTTTCCAGCCCCTTGTTGGAGAAGTCCCTGCCTGGACACTATTTATTATAAACTTAACACCAAAAGTGATGTCCTCGGCTCTTTACAGCTCCTGCCAGCGGCTTCGCAGGTGTTCCTGATGGGAGGCAGGAGCAGCACATTCATGCTAGGTTTTTGGTCGTTGTTGTTTTTTGTTTTTTTATTCTGCACATCAAGTTGAAGATGAAATTTTCAAATCTGAATGTGGACCCCATGACACATGTGGGAAAGGACAGTGATCATGTGACACATCAAGGCTCCTCATATATAGGGAGGGGCCTGGGTTGGTAGAGCTTATCCTTCCTCTCTTGTAAAGGACGCTCACCCTCGGCTCGGCGGAAAGGTTTAGAGGGGTTCTCACAGAAGACCAAATGCTATGTGCCACTTCACAAAGCATACCCCACAGGAGATAGGATTCTTTCCATGCGCCAGGAAGTGACCACTGCCTTATGACACGTTCACCAGGGATGCTTATTCTGTTTCTGAACCTCACCCTCTCAGGAGGGAGCACTGAGGATGAGTGGGAGAGCTTAGGGTGGATGGGTAAGCTTCTGGGGGACCCCTGGATCAACCTGTTGGGGGGAACTTTACTAGTGAGCTAAGTCTTATACTGACTTCAAGCATAGCCAAGCTTGTCACGATTAACCTCTAAGTGGCCTGTCTGGTCCGAGTTAACCCACTGATGACTGAAAGGAGGCATGTATGACTGAATTTTACCAGATCTCTGCCCTTCTCTCCCTCTCTGTCGGCCATCGACAGCCACAGGAGGAGCAGGGTGCACATTTCAGGAGCATGCAGTCTCTGGTAGCATTTAGGCTCTGAAGTTACACTATGTCCCCAAGCAACCTCTTTTACTATCTGTAAGACACCTCTTTCCAAACTCTCTTGTTCTCTCTTTCTGTCTCTGGCCTCTCTTTGTCTCTCTGTTCCTCCCTCTCTCCCTCCCCCACCTTCTTGTTTTTTTCTCGCTCACTCACTCTCAGGAAGCCTGGGCCCCATTTTTGTATTTCCTGATAATCACTCAATGCAAGTTGCATCCTCTCAGCTCGATCCCCGTGTGCTTAAGCCTCGGTTCCAGAAGCTAGGCTTCCTAAGCATTCTCTCCAGGTTTTAGGCCTTTCTGGTAGGTTCTATCTCTGGGAATTAACTCTTTGTCCACATGTTAGGATCCCTCTACTCCTCAGGTCAAGGTCCCTCTCCTCCTATCCCCTGCCCTGCCACCCCCAGCCCCCACTGAGTTCACAGTATCTAGCAATTTTCCTTGAGCTAGACAGGGTTGGTGTCAGCCCCACTCTGCTCAGAGAAGAGGATGCAGATGCAGGCTAATAGAGAACAGGGATGCTGAAACTGGGGATGACCTTGGCCTGACTTTAGACCACTCTCAACCTAACAGTCATAAACACTAAGGCCCAGACTCTCAGCCTGGCGGCTTTAACTCTTCTCACTTGCCTGAGCTGCAGCAGGAGCTACTTGAGAGGCAGATTTCTTGCCTGTTGCCAGGCAGCCTTGCTTTGTTAGGGAATGCTAATTTGGGAGCGCCTGTGCCCATTCCAACCTATCACAGGAATCCTGGGCCTCTCTCCTCAGTAATGAGCACTGTTCCTACAGCCACTTCACAAAAATAAGCTGTCATGTGACCCCTGGGAAGCCTTGCAAAGCAAAGTAGCAAAGAGTTGCTGGTTGCTGGTCTGCAGCCCCACATGGACTGTTAGGATAAGAGCAGCCGGGTCTTCTCCCTGAGGGATAGCAGAGCCTTTTTACCTCAGAGTGGATGCTGGATGCAAACTCATTTTCCTACTTTACAGCTTTGGATCCGGGTCAAGATACTTCACCTCTGAACCCCAGTCACCTCAGCCAGGCAGTTGTAATGGCAACAGTATCCACACCAGGGTGGGCTATGAAACGGTGGCAAGGTGGGTGATGTGTGACAGTTGTCCCAGGATGATGATGCCTGCCAGTTGGTTGGAGCTGGCTGGGTAGATGTCCACCATCCTAATGCATTGTTACTGTACAGCATCACTCAGAAAGCAGCTGCTCACTGTCCCATACCTAGGAGGCTAGGGAGGCAGGAGCAGAATCTAGTCTAACGCTGCTAACTTCTACCACTAGCTTGCATCTGCTTTGATTTGGGACCTAACGTGTCTGCCCTGAGGCTGAACCAGACACCACTATGACACTTGTGAAGGGGAAAAGGCCACCTTTTCCAGGGGCTCATAGCAGCTAAGACTTAAATGCACCATGAGTTTTCCCTTCTTCCCCCATGGGACCTGAGCTTCCCCATAGCAACCCTGCTTTTGGTGGGGACTTTCCTTCTGCATGTCACCCTTGTGTTTCTTATTAAAGGTCAACATGACCCACGCAGCTCCACACTGACAATCCGTGAACATAAATTTTCTTATCAGGAAGCACATGGCTTATGAGTGCCTCCAATATATATATAAATGCCTTAAAAATCTCCTAAGGCCTAAATGCCCCTTAAGTGCCATGCCCCTGGAGGTCTCCCCACCCTCAGAGCCTGGTTGTTCTGGTCACAAAACACAACTGTCCCTCTTGTTACCAGGATACCAAGCCTTTTCTCGTGGGTGCCTCTCAGTGTACATAGTGATGTTGGGACACTGGCCAAGGGATACCTCTCAAGGGGAATGGGTGGTTCTTCCTACTTCCGACTAGGATCACGGGAATAGTGTTTACCTGTGCTGTGAAGAAGGCTGGCGTGAGGGATCCTGAGGGGAGGGCTGGACTGTTGAGGGCGATGGAGCCGATGTCGGTGCCGGAGAGCAGCAGTTGGGGTGCAGAGATTTCCAAGCCTTTGGGTTTTTTGCCTTTTGGGGGAAGAGATGGAGACTTGGTTTTGGAGCCCGATGACAGATTTAGGGGCTCCAGAGAATCCGAGTCATGGCAGGCTGCCTCCAGGAAGAGGCTTCTATGTTCGGAAGGGAGGGGAGAATTGGGGGACAGGGATGGGGACCGAGATGAAGAGGGTGACGCAGATGAAACGCTGGCAGCATTTGGCAACATTAAAGAGGAGATCTTGGCTGAGACAGACGAGGCCAGGAAAGCGGATGCCGCCGCAGCCTCGGATGTGGAAGGCAGGGACACCACAGGCCTGGTGATGTGCTTGTCGGTTTTATTGGCCACAAACCTGATCACAGTCCTGACTTCTTCCACAGGGGGGCTGTCATCACAGGGCTCCTCCAGCTTCTCTGTCTTGATGGCCTTGAAGGCCTCTGGAGTGTTCTGCAGGGAGTTGATGGTGAAGGACGAGTATAGGCCTGAGTGGATGTATTCGTTGCGGCTCGCGCTTTTGAGGGAGGACAAGCCATGCTTGTGGACCTCCCGGCCTTCTGGGGACATCTTACAGTCACTGTCCTGCAGCAGGAGGCTTTCCCGGCTGATCTCTACGGCATGAGGATCCATTTTTAGGATATCCGGGAAAGAGACGAACTTGTACACAAACTTCTGCCCAATCACTTTCTTGATGATGTTCTGTGAATGCAAAAACAGACATTTCAAACGGGTGAGCCAGAGACATGGAAGGAGGGTGCACTGGAGCGACAAATGTTGGCAACCAAAGCACCGCCATATTCCTGACGCCCACAGGGTGCCTAGGAGGAATGAAGTCAGAGACTGAAGGCTCACATTCACACTCTGGTCCTGTTTTGACCAGGAGGAGTAGTGAGGTCCCTAGCCTATGGCAACTTTCTCATCTATTATCTGTGATAATTTCGTAATAGCAAAAACTGCCACTGAGCTAGCACTTACTGCATGGCTGGAATGATTCAGATCTTAGCGCATGTAATTTGCACAGTAATCCTACAAGCAGGTTTTATCATTTTTGTTTTGCAATTAGGAGAGAGAGCTGGGGAGACGGCCTAGTGAATCGATTGCAAGCTTGAGGCCCGAACTTCGGATCAAGAGCACTCATGTGAAAGGGGGAAAGGGTATCTCTAGGACAAGTTAGATGATGGCAAGTCTAGGATGTCTAGGATGTCTAGCTAGATCATCCTGAATCCATGAGCTCTGGGTTCAGCAAGGGTTCCTGTCTGAGGAAGTAAAGTGGAAAGTGATTGAGGAAGACACCTGATGCCAGTCTTGTGGCTATACATACACATGCACACGTGTGCAACCATACACCACGTACACCCACACATGGGTGCATGCCACAGAACACAAGCGAAAAGAACAAAAAGTCTAAGAATTAGGAGATAAACTTTCAGTACTGCAGTGTCTCACATGGCCAGGGTTAAGCAAGAAGTGGCAAGGTAGGATTTACTTCACCCTAACACGGTACTGTCTTACCCACTTCTGGGAACCGAGAGAATACAATGAAATACTAACAGGAAAGCCTCTTCTGGGAAGCATCTGCTACCCAGGAACGCAAGGTTTTCTTCTTCAGTCAGGCAGCCATTTCTGGCAAGAAAGCCACTGGAGAAAAAGAAATTGCCTGCTAGGCTATTTATGGCATTTGGTTTATATTCTTAGTTGCCGGTGTCTACTCCTGGCTCTTCAGTTAAGGGCTCGGCCCTCCAGCAGCATCAGGGTATAAATGGAAAATGAAAATCACTATGAAGGCAAAAGTTTTCTCAGCCCACGAGGGAGTGGGTTTTATGCGGAAGGCTAATTGAGCTGGAAGAGTAGTCCCTGTAGAACCTACCCAGTTCCATGTCTGTCTGGCAAATGCTTGCTGCAGGTCTCGCCCTGTGGTTGACTCAAAGTCCTAAGTACTCTGGGGAGAAAAAGATGGCTTCCCTCTGGCTCAAAAAGCCAGCATTATTCTGTGAGAAAGAACCCTATAGGTTTCCTTACAAACTCTTCCTCCTAAACCTTGTAAAATCAATCCTTTGAGGGAGAAGCACTTTATGGACTGAGTGCCCTCCAAGTCCAGCCATCTGGTGTATAAATCCCACAGCAGCCCCCATGGAGGGAGGAGGGTAGCATCCTTCCACTGCCAACACAAGCACAGAGCAGGAGCCATAGCCGCAGACTGCCAAGATCTACTGGAACTAAAGCCAGAGCCTTTCCACACTTCCCCACAGGCTGGAAGAAAGCACAGTGCCCCCTGATAGGGAGATCTCTGTAAATTCTGACCCTCCTTGGGTGCTTATGGCTTGCTCTAAGTATGACCATGTTAGGTTTTTTGCCTGCTACCGTACTACATTTTTTTTTTTCTATCCATTACTACAGCAGGTGAGAACCTAGTTGCCATGTTACTGAGATTTTCAAGAAGACATTCCTTGGGGTGGGATTTTACAAGAGGCATGTAGGAAAATCCCACCACATGAGCCCCAGCGAGAGACCGTGTCCAGCAAAGCACACAGGGATGCCTGTGCCAAGGAACAAGTCAGACTGAACCTGGTTGAACACTCCCATGGCTCCAGGTGTGCTAGGGTTCTGGGCTGCAACTCACCCCACCAAATCCCATGACTCTGGTCCCATGGTGACTCTAGCTGACCTCACCCTCATGCTGGCAAATCTTCAGAGGAATGGAAGAAGCAAAAAGGTTCCACTTGCTTTTGGGGAGCAGTGTCTCTACTGAAAAGAGCACCAGGTCTGGGTAGAGATGGTGCCAGGAAAACCAACTCCTCACAGGAAAAGATTAAATAAGGGAGACCAGAGCCTGCATGACCCGAAGCCATTCCTGTCATAAAGGAGTGTGTACTATGGAGCTTCCTCTGCTAAAACTGCTGGGTCCTTATGTTTATATCCTATATATTACATGCTATCTTACTTATAGCTTGTAATACTGTTTGGCTGAAAAGGTTTTTTTCCCTTTGCAACCACTTTGAAGACTCATCTAAATTGAGTGAATTTGTTAAGCCTAAGTAATTACACAGAAGGAACAGATAAACTGTTGCTTCACCTGACCAGTCCCACAAACTTTTTTTTTTTTTTAATGACTGGATCAGAGAGATGATGACTATATTTGTAAGTTAGCCAACAAGTAATTAGGGACTGTTATAAAAATGACAGTTTTAGGGTCTAACAAGATTGCTCTGTGGTTAAGGGCATAGATTGCACTTTGGAAAAACCTGAGTTAGGTTGCTAGCATCCATGTTGGGTGACTCACAACTGCCTGTAACTCCAATTCCAGAAGATCCAATGCCCTCTTCTGACTTGCTTGGACACCCACACATAGGGAACATATTCACACAGGCATGCAGACATAAATAAAAAATCTTCGAAAAGCACTTTTAAGTCTCTCCTCAAAAAAACAAACAAACAAAAACAAAACAAAAAACCAAAAACAAAACAAAAAACTGGTTGGGGTTTAAAAGTCAGTCACAGATGGAGAGCTGCTGGGCCCTGACTCATGTGCCTTCCCACTGACAAAGGACAGAAAACTGTGACACAGACTTAGAATGGAGTATTACGCAACACCCAAAAAGCAGGAAGGGCAGAGACACACTATGACAGGGAGAGGAGTCATTGTGCTAAGTGATTTTAAAGACTATATATCGTATTGTCTATTTATATGAAATGTGTGGAACGGAAAATATCCATCATAGGCTGCTGTGGTGGTACCTGTAATCTTGGCACTCTGGAGGCTGAGGTGGAAGGATGGGAGGTTTGAGACCAGCCTGGCTGCACAGTGAAACTGTCGCAGAAAGCTAAAAAGGAAAAGAAACCAAGAAAGAGGCAGAAAGAGGGAGGGAAGCAGAGTGGGAGAGAAGGAGAAGGAGAGGGAGAGGGAGGGGGAGGGAAGGGGGAGAAAAAGGGGGAAAGGGGGAGGGGGGAGGGAGAGGGGAGGGAGAGGGGTGAGGGAGAGGGGAAGGGTAGGGGAGAAGTGGAGGGAGAGGGAGATAGAGGGAGAGGGAGACGAAAGGAAAGAGGAAAGAAAGAGGAAAGGAAAGGAAAGGAAAAAGGAAAGGAAAAAGGAAAGGAAAGAAGGAAAGGAAAGGAAAAAGGAAAGGAAAGGAAA